TGGACCACACTTAAATGATCCCTGGGACAGCTTTTAGTTCAGTTTGTTTACTTATTTTAAAAGTTAGCTTACAAATTTGTGGCAGGAAGTGTTTATGAACCAAAGATACATGTACAAGAAAATGTACGTGCTTCTCAAATTCCATTTGTACAAACAGATGAGAAAAATCATATCAATAATAAAGAAATCCAAATTACAATTTAAATCAGACACAGTTTTGATGGTTTAAAAAAAAAGATGATATTTTAAATTCTAGAACATATAGTGAACACATAGTCAACTTGTCTGTGTTAAAATACATTGAAATCAAACATAAATTCTTAGTGCAACTAGTCCAAAAAACTAAAAGAATTGACCAATAAATGTAAAATCAGCTTTATACACCTCAGTTAGCTAAAAATGATGCTTCGTTGAGATTTCAGCTGAACGTAACAGACCTAGTTTGCATGTTCATAGCAATTACAAAAAGCCATTTCTCACTGTCAGTGTCATTACATTTTGAACAGCCAACATCGCACTTACACGGAGACCAAAGGCATCAAACATGTTTCTCCACAATGGAGAATGTGTGGCATATTTTCACTTTTTTTTCCAGAAAATGATGCCTGTGCATTGAGCACTGCAACACTGAGTTCAGAGTTGTCCTTTGTTTGTTTCACACATAGTCTCTTCTGTCATAGCCTCCCCCACCGTTCGAGCGAGACGCAGGATACGGCATCCTAGACGGGTTATATTTTTTCTCCTGTGGAGGGCAGGAGCAACAAAGCAACGATCCCCCCAAAATTAGGAGCGCAGCTGCTGCCCAGCCGATGTAGAGCGCCGCTCCCATCTCCCGTCTCCTGGCATCAGGCAGCAAAGGGTTGTAAAAGTCCCTGATGATGCTGTTTGCAGACCAGGACACGGGAATCAGCTGCATAAGCCCAGCTACGATGAACAGCACACCTCCTAGGATCATGACTTTAGCTTTGGACGACTCTTCTTCAATGCAGTTAGTGCACTTCGCTCCTCCGATGGACACCAGTACAGCCAAGACGGTCAGAAGGATGGATATGACAGTCAGGGCTCGAGCTGCTTGAAGATCCTGAGAGAGAGCCAGCATGGAGTCATAGACTTTACACTGCATCTGTCCGGTGCTCTGAACCACGCAGGACATCCACAGGCCATCCCAGATAATCTGAGCCGTCACGATGTTGGAGCCGATGAAGGCTGTGACCCTCCACATGGGGAGAGCACAAGCCACAATGGCCAAAAGCCACCCCAGCACACATGACACGATACCTATGAGCTCCAGGCCTAAAGACATGTCTTCTTAAAGGATCTGTGGCAGCTATGCAATGCCAGAGATGCTGGTAAAATAACTGGACAGCTGTGAGGGAACCTGCAGTATAAGCCTAATTTCAACCAATGCATCGGAGCAAACAGAGCGCATCTGTGACAAAACAAGTGTCCTTTATACCCCAGATCAGGTAGAGAGGAGGAGTCTGTCAGGATGGAGACATTACACAAAGAAAGGGCTAGTCACACCAGAACAAAAACTGCCCTCCATTATCGGAAAGTTTTGGGAATTAAGAACAAAACATAGCTTCTTTGCACATCAATAGAGGCTGTCAATGCTTCTGCACAATGACATGAATTTATTTTATAAAGGTAGAGACAAAACAAACAATTGTAAGATATTCTTTTGAATGGATTATTCATTTTTCTGTATAGACACTGTGTCATGAAATTCCAGGATTTTCAAACACTCTCATTTATTATAATAAATGATATTCGCTTAAATTCTGATTCTGGCAAAATATCAGTGCTGGTACTACTAGATCTCAGTGCTGCGTTTGACACTGTTGATCATAACATAGTTCTAGAGAGAATGGAAAACTGGGTCGGGCTTTCTGGGATGGTAATCAAATGGTTCAGGTCATACTTAGAAGGGAGAAGTTATTGTGTGAGTATAGGAGAGCATAAGTCTAAGTGGACGACCATGAAATGCGGAGTCCCACAAGGATCAATTCGTGCACCGCTCTTGTTTAGCCTGTACATGCTCCCACTAAGTCAAATAATGAGAAAGAACCAAATTGCCTATCACAGCTATGCAGATGACACCCAGACTTACCTAGCCTTTGTGCTACGTCCGAACTGATTGCACTATATTTTATGTATAATCTTTTTTCTATTCTTAACTGTTTTAATTCATTTAAAATCAATTTTAGATTATTTTAAAAGTTTTTAATTTCCTTGGTTTATTGTTGTGATTATTTTTTATGATTATTTTAATTCCTTTTATGTAAAGCACTTTGAATTACCATTGTGTATGAAATGTGCTATATAAATAAACTTGCCTTGCCTTACCAATTTCATAAAATACTTCTTGTAGAGAATGTTATTAATTTACTGTGTCTCAGACATCTGTTGCATTAGGCTATGTACATTATGTTGCTACGGTAAATTCACAAGGAGAATTCACAGCATGATGTTAATTGCTGGATAATTAAAAACAGCGCAAACAGTTTCATAGATATTCATTCTTGCATTTTAGCTCATTTTAGAAACTATCTGATTTTAAATGTGTTTATAGCTACACAGTAACGTGTCACACGGTTACGCTTTGATTTGAACGAAAACAACGTATCCGCGTGACGCAGCTGACACAGAATAGCATACGCTGTTTACATTCATTTTGGATATTCTCCAAAATGGCACCAGGGTGACGCGGAAAAGATGAATTGTTGAATAAAGTCATTATTTTTGTTATCTTTGCGTACAAAATGTATTCTTGTAGCTTCATAAAATTACGGTTGAAGCCGTGATGTCACATGGATTATTTTACCGATCTCCTTGCTACGTTTCTGGACCTTGATCGCGGTAATTCAGTAGTCAGAGAGCTCTCAGAATTAATCAAAAATATCTTAATTTGTGTTCCGAAGATGTACAGAGGTCTGACGGGTTTAGAATGACATGAGGGTGAATAATTAATGACAGAATTTTAATTTTTGGGTGAACTATCCCTTTAAGTTGAAAATGCAAACGTTTGAGCATGTGTTTCAAAGTGCGCATTTTTATAAATGATGCCATTATCTTATCAGTGAATTTGTGAAAACGGCGATGTCATGCATGTGTGTATTACGTGTTCAGTCTGTAGGTTTGTGCGCATGAGTGTAGTGTTTCTTTACAAAGTGACATCACCAACTACTAGCCTGACATGAATAATACAGCATTTTCGGTAACACTTTAGATTGGGTAACACTATTCACCATTAGTTTCTTATGAGCATGCATATTACTTCCCATATTGACTGTTCATTAGTAGTACTTATAGAGCATATACTGTATTAATGCCTTATTCTGCATGACTATATTCTACAGTAGATACCTAAACATAACTTTATATTTCCTTATTCACTAGACCTTATATAGTATATGCCATATTGTCCACTATACACTGTGTATAACGTGAAGAACTCCAAAAGTTCTAGGATCTTTTCATTTTTACAGAGACTTTACTATTGTGCACCAGAGATGACTGTTTTTTTATTATTTGTTTAATATATAAATGTATGAGTTAATTATAAAAAACAGCACTAATTGAGCATTAATTGGTTAGACAAAATTACTTGCATTCAAATGTATATACAACATATACAACATATATAGGGGGAGGATGCCACCCTTAAGAAAAATGTAGATTTATTTTTAAACATATTTAGACACACATCAGCCAATGTATTTCACATGCATTGCAAGTTATGTTTTATATTTTATGGATTGCATGATACTCAACAGTATCAAAGTTACAATCCTAAAGATGCTTGAAGCTGCTTGGATGTTCTCAAAGGCCCATAAGCAGGTTCAAGCTCTTCTTCTGAGATTTTTCTGTTTTTGTTTCATTCCATGACCCAGTGCCTCATCTTCATCCCTGAAATAGGCCTATTGTCTGGGACTGGCTTAGATTAGGGCCCTGGCAAAGACACGATTCTTGTGCAGAGAGCGAGTAGACCTTGAAAACAGGTGAATAACTAGGCCTAGTGACAGCTGATTCAACTAATCACTTTATTATTGAGGCTATGAAAGTTTCTTTTAACTCAGTGTTCTTCATTGTTTTCCATAGACAACTGAACAAAGATGGCACAGTATGTTCGTTCAGTGCATTTTCAAAGACATTTCTGAGACAAATCAGTTTTATGTTAACTCTTTCCCCACCGCTGACAGAATTTTCTGCCAATCCATGTTTTCACTGTTAGACAGTAGGGGGCGATACTCACATCGTTTGAAATAGCACTGATTTTCTGGATCCATAAACAAGCGAAGAAGAAGCAGAAACACATGATAGAAGCATTGCTTATGCACATGTAAGCTAACACGATCATCAAACATTACTTAAACAGCATACAAAACAAAACTGCCTAACGTTACCGAAATAAATGTCGACAGAGGAAGCGGTTTAAGTCTGTGAAGCTTTGGGGGTGTTGATGGAAGCGATCTACTCCATCTATGTTTTGATCATCATTCTCAGTCTGATCCGGATGTAGATTTAATAAAAGCGTGATTTCTCAGCTTTTTGTTCAAAATGTTGCTTTTATTTAATGAAAATTACTCACATTTAAATATTGATTAAAAAATGCAGGAAGGTAGGTTTTTTCTTTCATTTTACATTGTTCATATATTCATACAATAAAATATTCTGGGTGCCACTAAATGTTTTTGAAAATGATCACAAATGCTGAAAATAGCTTGCAACTTCAAAAAAAAAAAGTGTGGAAAGAGTTAATAAATTAAATTAATTAGGACCCAAAAATCATGGAACATAGAAACAAATTAATTTGTATTTTTTTAATGAACGTGTTTTAAAGTTAATGTGGCACACTTAGACTACAAGTCTTGATACATCATATAGATGCATGTAACGAAAAGTTTACAAAAACATACTAAAACACTGAAATTTTAGTTATTGGTAACACAATACTAAAAACGACAACCTCAATATCAATATACACATGGTTATGAACACACTTTTGCATGTGCTTATTTTTAGTAATAATATAATACTTGCAATTCTTCAAAACTGCTTGCATGAACTTGGTAACAAAAGAAATGGCAAAACAGCAGAACTCACTGTCCAGAAACACACACTGTCTTGTGCTGTATCATCACATTCTCTGTTCAGGACACATATGAACAGAGTTGCAACACAAAAAGAGTACGTTTGTTCACACATAGTCTCATTTGTCAAAGCCAGCGGGCGGTACACACCGTGCAGCAGAGTAAACCATCCTGCTGGGTGGACTGTACCTGTTCTCCTCCAGTGGGGGGCAGCTGCAGCAGAGAATCCCCCCTCCAATCAGCAGAAGGGCGCTACATGCCCATCCCAGGTAAAGAGACGCACCGATCTCCCTCTTTTGTGCCTCTATGATTACGGGGTTGTAGAAGGATCTGATGATACTGTGAGCAGACCAGCACACAGGGATCAAGTGCATGACCGCAGCGCAGATGAAGGTGACTCCAGCGGCGATCATGACTCTGGCTTTGGCCCGCTCCTCCTCTAGGCATTTAGTGCACTTGGCTCCTATAATGGAGAGTAGGAGTCCCAGTACTCCCATCACAATGGCAATCACACACAGAGCCCTGGCGGCCTGCAGGTCTGAGCTGAGAGCCAGCATGGAGTCGTAGACTTTGCACTGCATCTGGCCAATGCTTTGCACTACACAGTTCATCCAGATTCCCTCCCATATGGTCTGCACCGTTACGATGTTCACCCCGATGAAAGCCATGAGCTTCCACATGGGCAAAGCGCAAGACACGATGCCTACAATCCAACCGAACACAGCTAGGGTGACCCCTAATATCTCCAACCCCAGAGCTGCCATTCTGTTTTATACAAGAATGTGCTATGAAATGAATTCCATTCGCCAAGGAAAGGCTTTCGGCACAATGTTTTATAATGCAACGATGAGGAAGGTGGAGTTATTCTGGAAAAGGTCTCAGGGGATTGGTTAAACTTTGAGTGAGCTTAACCTTGGCGTGGAAACGAGTTAGTTTAATGATTTAGCTCTCTTCATCTGGTATTTCCCACTCAGAGACCAAACAGCGGATAGATAACAAAAGCCCAGAGGGAACTGGTTAATGGATAACTGCATGACTAAAGCAAGTCTAGACTTTTGAGGAAAACTTTCAGTGGTTTAAAATTAAAATGCATGCTTCAGAACAGGTTTACCACAAGAGCAAACTTAAAGGGGTCATATGATGTTGCTAAAAAGAACATTATATAGTGCACATAAATGCACATAGTGATGTAGACATGTGGGGCGTGTTAGAACTAGATGTTTTAGGTAGGTGTGGCTGACTCTTAACTTTTATAAAGAATATCTCTTTGGATTTGAGACTTTAGTCTTTGCAACTTTACAGATCTTCTTTATGCACCAAGAGCTTGTAACACTCCAAAGAGAAAGGAAAAATTTAAATCGTATCATATGACCCCTTTAATTTGTTTGGATTCTATGAGCAGAGATTGATATGAAAGTGATAATTGAACTGATTCGTCACCTGAGAAGGAGCAGTAAAGTCACTGAGGGCTGAGAGACAACAAAGACAGAATCAGTGATGCCAGACAGTGTGACTTTAGCTGCTATCAGCAGTCCACGATTCCTCAACTCTAAACTAAACAACATCAGGCTTTATTAACTCTCTCTCTCTCACACACACACATTATACACACACTTACTCTGTAATCAGTCATGCATAGGTATGTGAAGCCTGGTGACCTTGCGTCAGCCTTTGCAGTGTTGTTGGAGCATGTGGAACAAGTGGAATGAGCATCTTCTACTTCTATTTACATCAAATGTAGGTTTTCTTTCAGATGCATTTGTTGTATATCATCTATGTCAGTATTTTTAACTTACATGAACAGTAAACAAAATATCATTATAGCACCTTTAAGGATAATGTTTAATGACTTCAAGACAAAAGTAGGTTAGCATATTAACCTACCAGAGCTTTACATATTTTCCTAATTATTGAACACTTTGAGAAAGAGTTGCAGTAAGTAATTATAGAGGCATCTACTCTGCAATATAGCAGGTGCTTTTATCTGCACCCGTGCAAGTCTCAGTTACGCTCTCTTGACTAAAGCATTGGGCACAAAGAGGTTTAGAGATTTACTAGAACAACCAGCGCATTGTCTCCATTCACGTCTGGGCCAACATGGAGAGTATCATTAGTATTTGTGTTGACTTTTAAGAGCAGGATTGATTTCAAATAATGATAACGGGCTTTTGCTAGCATTTGTTTTTGCTTTACTCTGGTTTCTGAGTCTCACGTTTTTTTTTTGTTTTTTTGTTATTTAATGTTTTAATGTTATTTAATGTCTGTCTAAATAAATTCAGGTATGTTTGTCCATTAATGAAACTGGCTTTATTTTGATAGTCCACTTTAGACATTGCAATAACTATAGTTAACTATAAGTAACTACATGTCAACTAGCAGTCATTAGAGTATTAGTGACTGTCTGCGTAATATCTGCTAACACTTTATTTTGATGGACATTCTACTGACTCTAAGTAACTCTGCAAGTACTTCTCAGCTTATTCTACTAACCCTAACCTAATAGTCTATTAATACTCTAATGAGAGTTAGTTGACATGCAGTTGCAAAGTTACTTATAGTTAGTAGAATATCTAAAATGGACTCAAAATGAACTCTAACCATTCATTTTGCAATTTTAGTGGACTTGAGAGTTACTGATTATTCAACTATTAGCATTTGGATTGTGCAAAAATGAGAACAAAAGATAAAATAACTAAATTACTTCTTGCAACAATATCAAATACATTAAAATGAAAACAAAAACAATAATACTAATCTTATATATGCCATGTTGGTAATCAAAGTTTAGCATCAGTCATTCATTTGTTATTGACATTTAAACACCTGTTGTCGTCATTTAACAGACTTGTTGGCTTTTCTCTCAAAGTCCTTCATGTGCAAAGAGTCAGACCTCTCAGACATAGTCTCTCCTGTCATATCCATTCACAGACATAGATTTGACCCCTGAGTAGTCCACTCTTGTTGGCACAGCATTGTTCTGCGCTTTCGAGGAGCAGGAACAAGACAAAATGACTCCACCTAGGATCAGCAGGCAGGAGGCGCCCCATCCGAAGTACAGCGAGTTCCCAAACTCCCTCTTCTGCGTCTCCTCTAGAAGTGGGTTGTGGAAATCCAGGATGATGCCGTTAGCTGTCCAACAGACGGCCACTAGCAGCTGCAGCCCACACGTTATAAACGTCACCCCGGCTGCCAGCATAATGCGCGGCTTGTTAGCTGCATCTGATGTGCAGTTGGTGCACTTCGCCCCAGCCACAGCCAGAGCCATGCCTACCACACCGAGCAGCGTACTCACGACTGTCAGAGCACGCGCAGCCTGCAGGTCGTCGGGAAGCCCCAGCATGGAGTCGTAGACGCGGCAGTGCATCTGTCCTGTGCTCTGCACCACGCAGCTCATCCACAAACCTTCCCACACGATCTGCGTGATGACGATGTTCTGGCCTATGTACGCCGCCACTCTCCACATGGGCAGACAGCAGGCCACCATCCCGCCGAGCCACCCGGCCACGGTCAGGATCATCCCCAGGATCTCCAGGCCAGCGGAAGCCATCGCGCTTCACTCCTCACCACAGACTGTGGTGCTCAGGATCCAGGATTAGCTCTGATATTAGAGCTGTTCTCTGACTTGAAGACTTGCTTAAATGAAGAAAGAGAGAAAGGGAGAGAGAGGGAGAGGGAGGGAGAGAGAGATACAGTTTCTACCTTCTTTATACTGCTAAGAGAAGATGGAAGGTGGAGTCTTAGATTGCATCATGTTTTGTGTGGTACAAGAGAGACTGGGGCTTTTTGTAGCGCTTTGCTTGTAACGGATGGCAATGTTAAAGTGATCCACTCAAATGCTTCATATCTGAATTGTTTATTTTTATCCTGTTATTTATTTATTTGATTTTTTTAATGACACACCACAACGAGGAAGAATAGCAGCATGTATCATATTTGTCCTTAGTGAAATAAAAAATGTGTCCTAAGAAGGAAGCTTATTCGATTTTAGTTAAAAACAATGCACTAAAAAGAACAAACATAGCATTTCTTTCTCCCTTACTTGTTCAGCCCCAGTAATTATATGGTTCAGATTTCAGATTTCGGCACCTGCCTGCCTTGGCATCATATAAAAGTATACATTTTTGTCCCACGTTAAAATGAAACTCCTCTAGTGTCTCATGTGTCCTTGAGAAAATCTGCTGAATCACTCCTCTTTGAGTAGAGACAATTCACCTCTTTGTTTTCAGGAGTAAGACATATAATCCAGCGGGAGTAATCATATGTATCCATACTGTACACACTTACAGTTTCCATTTGTTTGCATAGACATGGAAACATACATTATTAACGTCGACTTTATTAAATTAATAAGCTGACTTTGCACAGTTACATAATTTGGTTTACCCATTTACCTGAAATGACATATAACGGTTTAATTCTGTTCTGTGTGATTCTGGTCATTTCAATGAATTCCATCACTACCCAAGACTAAACCTTAAAATATTAAAATGAATGAAAAATTTATAATTTAGTCATTACTTAATAATTAATTTTTGATTGTGTTTGCTATGGGGCAGAAAATGACAAACACTCCAATAAATGCTCATCAATGTAACTCATTCTATATTATATTGTCTTTAGAAGCCATAGCTTTGAAACCATAGCTGTATTGAATACCTTGATCAAAACACAGGTGAAGAAGAAGTACTTTAGTGGACAGAGGTCATGAGAGGGATCAGAGGAGAAGCATTATTAGAGTTTTAGATTTAAAAAAGCATACTAAAATGACTTTGATTATTATTATTATTATTTCCAACAACAGCCCAGACAGCAACATAGTGTTGGCCCAGATCTGGCCCACATTTGGCCCCCGTGAAATCCATGCAGATCTCAAAATATGAGAAAAATTAAATACTCTGAATACTATCTGATTGCACTGTATTATGATGTAAAGACCACAAAACAGCCAGTGCTGGGGAAAGTTACTTCTAAAAGTAATGCATTACAATATAGTGTTACTCCCTAAAAAAGTAACTAATTACATTACTTTTTATGGAAAGTAATGTGTTATGCTATACTTTTGCATAACTTTTTAAATCTAGGCTGGCCTTGCTTGTCTGTTTTTTAATATAAAATGTTCTGTTTTTGGCAAATGTAAAAGCCCTTTCACATCAAAAGTGAAATGAATAAATCTCAGGCTGAAGGAACTGTAATTTCACATCTGTACAGTAGAGGGCGCAGCTCAAACAAACCTTTCAGCTGTGCCGCTATTCTGGATTGCATGAAGAATAGGATGCAGAAGAAGAAAGTTCAACATTCTTCAGCAATAAAAAAAGAAAACAAATGTATCATTGAATTGGATCGTTGAAGATCGCAGCAAAAACATTGCTTAATAAAACTGGATTAAATACATTAAGGATACTTGTCCTGCAATAATTAAATATGTTAAATAGCACACATTTTGTGCTATTTAACATATGTAGTTATTGCAGGTTTGCATCATATTCTAAGTCTGCATTTCACTGTTTTTATTCATTTAGAGGAATACTGAATGTGTTTTTGTGCAGTGAAATGAGTAAGTTCATAGTCTAGAACTACAGTAACACCATGTTCACACAGTGCACACAACGCCTCTGCACTTACTCCCCATTTCTCTCAACATGATGACAGGAGAGCTGGCGATCAATAAATGGAAAAACAATGTAACTGGCATTACTGATTTGAAAAAATAACTCTGAAATTTTTTTTGTAAATTAAAAAGTAATGCATTACTTTACTAGTTACTTGAAAGAAAAGTAATCTGATTACGTAACTTGCATTA